GGGCCAGGAGAGGTCTGCCACGCCATGTGGTCACCTCTGGGGCAGGCGGGAATCGAACTCATGCGGAAGCGGCTTTTTTTAGATTCTCAGTGCTGTGCTTTAACCCGCTGCGCCACCAGGGAGGGCCTATATATTTTTTAATTTGTAAAATTAGTTGATGTTCATTAAGTAAATACAGAAATCTAAAAAGGAAAATCAGCTGTAATTCCATAAAGATGACTATTAACATTTTCTTATAGGTGTTTTTTTGAATAAAGATCATTTTTATATTTTCCTTTAACATGTTACCAAAATTATGTCTTTATATTAGATTCTTCTAAATATTTTTAATTTATTTTTAATATCTAATAAGTAATTTGCTTGACCACTGTCATATACATACACACATACACACATTTAGGTTATTGCCACTTTCTGATTATTGTTGAGAGTCAGTATACATAAGCCCCTTTCACCCACTTTGTGTATGTGTGTCTTTGGTATATATTTTTAAGAAAGAGTCTCAAAAGTAGAATTCTTTGGGAAGGATAGAGGAATAAATTTCAGTCTCATATGCATACCATCTGATTGCTTCCCAAAGGATTGTAGCCATTTGTTTTATGATCAGAGCCATTCTTTTAAGCTATGCACTTATTTATACTTTTGCTCAGGAGGGAGGTTTGGAAGGTTTCATTGAAATCTGTCTGTGGCTCATTTTGGGGGATCTCCCCCGCACTGATTGCAGAGGGTGAGCAGGTCTCTTGCCTCACACTGGAAGTATAGTTTGCTTTCTGTTGCTTCTAGATCCCTTCCTTGATTGACCGGATGCTTGTGTCATCCAACACGAAGACTGGGGCTGCAGGAGCTGAGGCCTTATCCCTCTTGCTAAAGAGGCCCTGGGATCCTGCGGTGGGAGTGCTTTCTCATAACAAGCCAGTAAGTTGGATGCTCAGGACTTAACTTAGAATCCAGGCTTAGAACCTTGGCAATGTCTTAACAATTTTTCATTAATACCAATTGCATATAGTGCTTTTACACAGTCTCATAAACAAATCAGAATTGGTTGGGATACTTGGAATTTCACTGAAGTGCACTGCTCCCTTCTTAGTTCTCTGGTGGAATTCTTTCTCCTCAGAGCAAACTCCCTGGCTCACCTCTCATCCTCATTGCCTCCTCTGGACCCTCCAGCTCTGTGTTTCCTACCTCACGCCGTCACCGCTTCTGGCAGTCTCAGCTCTCCTGCTTAGGCAAGGTATGTTTAGGGTAAGAGGACAGACTTCTCACTGGTAATATAGCATTGGTGGATTGCACAGACAAATGTGGTAGATCAAAATGAATGAACTTAAAAGTTAGGTACCCTAACTTTTGTTTAGAATTGAATGTCCGAGGTTGAAAGGATTTAGGGTAGATTAAACAGAATTGAGAGAAGATTTGAAACTTAGCTTTGCTGGCTGACATTTTCTTTCCTTCAGGTCATCCCTGTAGCTACCCATCTGCTGAACAATGGCAGTGGGGTGGGAGTTCTGCAGTGTCTTGAACATATGATTGGAGCAGTGAGAAGCAAAGTGCTAGAGGTGAGAAGGTCTCTAGTTCAGGTCATTGTGGTGCATCCAGCATTCTGGACTTGTTCTGCACCCATCTGTGGCCGCCTGTCTTACTGTCTTTTTTCCCTCTTCTCTTAAAGATTCACAGCCATTTCCCTCACAAGCCCATTATTTTGATTGGCTGGAATACAGGAGCTTTGGTGGCCTGTCATGTAAGTAATGCCCACCGTATTTGGAGGTTTTCCTAGGATAGAATATTGCTGCCACTACTGATGACTACCATTGAGTCCTTTCTTATGTTCCAGGTACTATACTGATTTGCTTTACCAACATAGGTGCATTTTAAATTATAGAAGAAAAAGAAGACCAAATATAATTTTATTTATCTATTTTTTGGCATGCATCTCTAAAGGAAGATTCCCTTCACTTGTCCCTAACACAAATACCACACTGTACTCCCATCTGAAAAACAAAACAATAATTTAACTGGCAAAAACAATAGCTTTGGAATTTGATGTTGTATCCATGTTCTGTCCCTTTTTAAGACCTTAAGGAACTTTTTCCTTGTTATTTTATATATACATACATATGTGTATATTGTTTATAGGTATATGCACTTGCATAAATGTCCCTGATCTATTTCGCAAGCAGTTCAAATAAGTGAAGTCTCCACTGCTGCATGTGACCTAGTGCAATATGACACTTCATACTTTCTGATTCCAAAGATGGTAGAACTCATAATCAGCAACTGCTCTAAGAAGTTTGGGGTGTTTGAGAGCTATCCATTAATCTCAAAAGGGAGATGTTTTCCTTTTGTAAAGGAGAAGAGCAACACTTGTGTTCTTCTGCCTGCCTTTGCTACTAGTGGAGGGAAAAGTGCGCAGAAAGCCTCCGGTCTAGGGAATTGACAGGGTGGATGTATTAAACCTGCCACCCTGTGGTTCAGTGTCTTCTGGGGCCCTTTTGGGTCCAGTCCTGTAGTTGGCTGTTGTAGCACATCTTTTCTGTGCTCCTACTGCTGTTGCCATGGCTATCCTCACTGTCCTCGTCTATAAAATGAGGGCTAGGGCAGGGAGGGAGAAATGATACAGACTGGTGTTCTAGACCACCTCTGGAATCTCCACAGGGTGTGGCTGCAGAGAAGTTAGTTGACCTTCAGTGGCCCTCAGTGAAGTCAGTTGAGACAAACTTCTGTTATTTCCAGGTATCTGTGATGGAGTATGTCACTGCTGTTGTCTGCCTTGGGTTTCCTCTCCTTACTGTGGATGGCCCCAGAGGGGTAAGAACGGGGTGCAGCTGGTTGCTGGGTGTTTGGCAGTGAATAAGGGAGTGCATGTCTGGCTGCCATTGTCCCGCTGACTTCTGAATGGACTTGCTAGATCAGTGCTCAATAAATATTAACTGGCCATTTGTAATAACTATACTTGTTTTAGGATGTGGATGACCCCCTCTTGGATATGAAGACTCCAGTCCTCTTTGTCATCGGTCAGAATTCCCTGCAGTGTCACCCTGAAGCCATGGAGGACTTCCGGGAAAAGATTCGGGCTGAGAACAGCTTGGTAGTGGTTGGGGGAGCTGATGATAATCTCAGGTGGGTAGTTTCCTCCAGAACAGGGATAGTGTTAAAGAGAAGCCTGTAGGTACCATATAATGATAGGTTATCCTGATTCAATGAACAGGAGACATTAAAAACCTTTATTTTTTACATTTTTAAACTAACTTCAGTTTTATAAAGTTGCGAAAATGGTACAAAAAGGTTCATGTTTACCCTTTACTTGGATTTCCATAATGTTAGGATCTTACATAGCCAAAGATTGATGATCAATCAGGAAATCAACATGATATGATACTATAATCTACAGATTTGTATTTCATCAGTGGTCTCACTAATGTTTCTTTTTTTCTGGCCCAGGGTTCAATCTAGGATCACATGTTGCTGTTGGTTGATATCTCTCTTAAGTCTCCTTTAATTTGATTCTGAGTTTTTCTTTGTCTTTAAACATCTGGACATTTTTGAAAGGTTCTAGACAATTAATTTTTAGATTGTACCTCAGTTTTGGCTTTTGACATTTTCTTCTGTGATTAGGTTGAGTGCATTTTGGAAAAGAATGCCACAGAAGTGACATGACATGAGTTCAGTGCATCTCTTGGGGGCAAGGGGGTGATGAGGGTTTTGAGGTATCTTATCATGGATGATAACCTTGCTCACATGCTTTTGTTAGCATCTGCCAGGTTTCTCCTCTCTACTGTAAAGTTAATATTTTTCCCTTTGTATTTAGTAATTACCTTGTGAGGAGAAGATACTTTCAGATTTACAATATAGTGCTTTGACTGGGGTAGGCATTTCTGTACATTTTGTTCCACTGAGGATGAATATAAACAGATTGTGTGTGTGTTAAGCATTCTTTTCTACATTTGGAGTATAAACAGCAGAGTTTAAGGGGGTGTTTAGGAAGGCACTGTTAGTCATTGAGATAGCCACCTTCCACTGACTACATGTAGAGCCTTTAGTTCTGCCTTCATGAAATGTTTATGATGTTGGGCGTCCTTTTATTTACATGTTCAATCTTGAGTGATAATTTCATTTGATGTTTTAACTAGAAAGTTTAAAGCAAGTATTGCTCCCACCTGTCAATTTCCTATCCAGACACTTGTGGGAGAAGTCTTTCTGGATTAATACCTAATCCACTGATATTTAAAGCTGTGCTTCCTTATACTTATGTGATAAATCAGATGTTCTTTTATAGAGAATGGGTTGCATTGAATTGCTGTAAGGAAGTAAGAAAAGATAGGAATACCTTTGCTGAGATACATTGTGAGACTGCTTATTAGACATTTGCATGGCATTAGAAGCATTGGCCAGGATTAGGGGACTTCTTACTTACTCTTGCTCCTTTACTAAGTAGGTTACTTAGCCTGGGGACTCACTGTTCTCATCTATAAAGTGAGGGTGTAGCATGAGCTCAGAAGCCAGCAAACACTAAGTTGAGATATCAGAATTTGAAGGCTCAGAAAGTTGTTCACTCTGTTATTTGGGACCCTGTTACTCCCTCTGCTGAACATATTCTCTCCCCCATACCCCCCATCAGAAATCAGAGGTTTTGAAAAGCTGGCTTTCAAAGAGGGGGATCAGCTGTGGTCATTTTCTGTCACCCCTTTAGAACTAACCTGTGGCCATTTTCCCTCCCTTTCTACTCCATTTCAATGCTTCCAGTCACCTCATGATCTGGGTATGTGTTGGGGCACTTCTAGATGAAATCATAGCAATTAGGTAGAGTTTGTTTGGCCAAGGTTTAGGACTTCTAGGTGTACCATCCCAATGTTTCTGAGTTCCATATTTTCTTTGGTTCTTTATTTTGTGTAATCCTTACAACTCCATGAGAGAAGTACCTTGATTTCTCATTTTGCAGATGTGGAAATGAGGTTCAAAGCACTTATTTAAACTTAGCTGTGGGCTCACATTATCTTTTCTACCTAGAAAATAAACACAAGAAAAATCCGTTATTATTTTTCCATACAAGGCCATGGGATAATTAGAAATTAAACTTTTTGTTTCTTAGAATAAGCAAAGCAAAGAAGAAATCAGAAGGGTTGACGCAGAGCATGGTGGACAGATGTATTCAGGTATGGTGTTTTCTGTGTTGTCTCAGTTAGGTTTGCCTTTCTATAATGCTTTGAGGCCTGTCTTGTTGGCGGCCGCCTCACTGACTCAAGGATGAGGGGATAGAGACCCTAGGGTCTCTAGGGTCACAATCAAAGAAAAGGAGGGGAAGAACAGGGAGGAAGAGGGAAGAGGATAATAAATAAAGACCTGAGCAAAAACAAGCTGCATCAGGGGAGAAAGGCTGTACTAGAGGAGTGTTGACACCTGACTGCCCCACAGTGCCATCTCACCAAGGTGTCTGGTCTTTGATTGAGGCTAAGGTTTGTGCCAGAGAGACCAGCACTTCTGGTGCTAAAACCAAGGTGAATCCATTTTAGTTGAAACTGTTGAGGTTTCTGTTCTCCAGATGGGGACTTAAAGATCTCTTTAAACTAGGATGAGATTGTGGACTTTCTGACTGGCGTGCTCACTCGTGCTGAGGGGCATATGGGTTCTGAGCCTCGGGACCAGGATGCTGAGAAAAAGAAGAAGCCCCGGGATGTGGCGCGCAGAGATCTGGCCTTCGAGGTGTCCGAGCGGGGCAGTCGACCTGCCTCCCCAGCTGCCAGACTGCCTGCCTCACCTTCAGGCTCAGAGGTAAAGCAGGAGGGTGGGAACCATCTGGAGAGTCAAATTGTAGCGTTCGTTCATTTGTTTTCTGGGGTTGCCTGTTTCCTCTATAGTATTGTAGACCTGTGAGATTTCTGGCCAGGGAATTCCAAGGGGGCATGCTAACTGATGATGAAATCCAAACAGCGTTGACTTAGCTCTTGTCCTCATGCGACTCAGGATCTCTCCAGTGTGTCCAGCAGCCCCACCTCCAGTCCCAAAACCAAAGTGACCGCAGTGGCCTCTGCTCAGAAGACGAGTCAGATTGGGAGCTCACAGTTGCTGAAAAGACACGTGCAGCGGACAGAAGCTGTGTTGACTCACAAACAAGCCCAAGGTATGGTGCCTGGCCCAGGGGCCTCTCTTGGGTTCTTTCAGTCAACAATTGACGACATGTGACAATTGGAAAGTGCTGGCATTACCGCTTTCTCCAGGGACATGCGAAAGGCACCCTCCCCCACTTTTCTTCTCATGCAAAATTAGCTTGAAATGAATACATAGGCTATTTTCAAGGGTAACATATCACTGTAGTGGGACTGTATGGTTATAGCTTTGTGTTGAAGTTCTGATGAAGTTAGAACTTACAAGCTGACTACATTAGCCTCAAAAGTTTTCTCTGACTCCCAATTGGGGAGAGTAGATCTTCCGCTCTAGGCCCTGTCTTGCCGTGCCTGCAATCAGGGAGTTCTCCAGATCTTGTGAACAGGGTGATAGTTAGATCTTGTGAACAGGGTGATAGTTTTATTCATCAGATTCTAGACCAACTCAGCTGGTGTCATGCCCTTTGTTTTGATCTTAAAGAGGTAGGATTCCCACACTGGGACTTGCAATGAAGTTTATGAGGACTCTTTGTGAAAGATTAGTCTGAGACCCATTTGTATGGTTGAAAGGGGAATTTGGTAAGTAGGGGGAAGAAGAAACCGTGGCTCTGCTCTACCTCCCATTTGATCTAATTGGGCAGCCCTAAGGTGAGGCCTCTCGGTCATTGGTGTTTGATGTGTAACCAGAGCGTTGTCTTGGGATGTAATAGAGCCAGCAGTGTGCTTCTGGAGGGGACAGTTATAGTTGAGAGAGTCTAAGGAGTTCTGGGTGAGTGATTGGTGATTTGGGTTCAAAGTGGGACCCAGAATGTTAGAGGGAGGCAGCAGTGTGGCACCTTGTGTTGGCAGAGCTACTGGATAGGAGCTGTGGGATGATGGCAACGCTAACAGTAAGCCCTGCTGCGTGCCGCAGCTTCTCATTGGCTCTGGACTCGCTGCCGCTCACTTAACCTTGGCAATGGCTCCATGAGATAGGTAATTTAGTATCTTCAGTTTAAGATGATTCCACAGAACTGCAAAGTAAGAGAATTAGGTTTCAAAACCATGCTAAGAAAAAAAACCCATTTAGCATTTTCTGGAACCTTTTTGTATCTTTCCGACAGCCTCTCTTTTTCTTCTTTCTCTGGCTGGCTATGATTCTGTAATTCTTTCTGATTCATTCCAGCACAGTTTGCTGCTTTTCTGAAACAAAACATGCTGGTGAGGAAAGCTCTTCCTCCTGGCACCTCCTCCTGTCTCTTTGGTGAGTATGGCTCCTTCAACTTCCACCTGTGCTGTCTGCTTCTCTTCCCTGCTCCCTCATATTTCTTCTTCACCCTTTCCTTTCATTGATCTCTGTTTGGCTTTCTCCCGTTCTCTTCTCTGCTTTTTTTTTCCTGTCCTATGATTCTGTTTTTTGCTAACTCCTTTTGTTTAATCTACAGTCTTTGTGTGTCGTCTCCAATTCTCACTATTTCCCTCTCATGGTGTTTTTCTCTTTTTGTCTTGCATTGTGGTTGTCACTGTAGTTCTCGGCTCTGCTCCTGTGTGTGCCTGTGTCCCTTTGCCCATTAAAAGTTCCCTAACCTAAGTTCCCTTGTGTGATTTTCTCCCTGCTTCTGCTTTCCTGCTTCCATCATGGCTACTGCAAGCGCACTAACCATCAACAAAAAACCTGTAACTCCTTTTCTTTCCTATTGAGACTTTAGTCACTAAGTTTGTTGCCTAAACACTCCCTCCAGGTGGTTATACTGTGACTGTGGCCTAGAGTAGCTCCCTGTGGACAAATGGGGCCTCCCACTCCCACCCCAGCCTATGTGACTGTTGCCTTGCTCTTACTCGATTGCCTATGCTAAGGAGAGGGGCTGGGGTGAGCTCCTGGGTTTAAAGAGGAGGGAATCTATAAGGAAGCGTGAATTCTCTTGAAAGAATCCAAGAGCCTTGACCATCTACATAGTGAGTCTTTGGTGGAGAGAGAAGCCTATGGGAAAACAGATGGCTTTTTTCCATAAGAGTAGAAGTGACCTGGAGACCTGGCTGCGACATGAGCCTTGCTGCCCTTTTATCTTTCAGTAGGACCTATGTAGTGCACTTGACTGAGAAGTTCTGTCACCTAGTAGTTGCTTAAAGTCAGCCTTGATCCTGGCGATCATTCCTCTCCTTGCCACCATTTGACAAGCAAACCCTCATCCTTGGGCCCTTAGGGCAGGCAGGGTAGAACTCTTGAGATTTGTGTGAAAATTTCCTTTCAGAAAGGCCTGGGTAGCTTGCTCCTCTGTGGGTTCTTCTTAGAATGTTTACTGTCCTGCAGGGGTGTGATGTAGGGGAGGGCTTGCAACAGGAAAATTATCTCATTGTCAAGAGCACTGTGGTGGGTCCGCTATTACTTGGTTGACCTTGGCTAGGCAGGATCAGGGTATCTTCTTTTCATTCCCACCAACTGAGAGGCCCCTTTCTTCCGACTCCGGGATAGAATGAAGGATGGGGATGGAGCCATCCTCTGAGAGAGTCAAGCTGGAGTCCACCACAAGGGTCTTGAGTGAGGTGGGACTAACTTGGTAGTCTTTCTTGGAAGTGTGACCTGGTGGGCAGGAGGGTCTGCATATGGCCGTGCCTTTGCTGGTACTGTCCTGTCTGTTGGGTTCTTTTGGAATGTGGAAGACCTCACTTCATCTCCATCTCTTAGTTCCCATTTCATCAGAACAAGTGGAAGAAGCAGAAAAAGAGGATATTAGGGTCCAACTGAAGCGGCACCATCCCTCCAGTCCTCTTCCTAGCAGTAAGATGTCCAAGCGACCAAAGATCAAGGTGTCCCTTATCTCCCAAGGGGATGCAGTTGGAGGGCCTTGCACTTCCCAAGGAGGAGCTCCAGAAGGTGAGTTTTCTTGGCTTGTTTAAAGAGGAAACAAGGGCCCTTTCCAAGGGCCTGCGGCATTGCTCTCGTCCCTGTTTGCCAAGGCTGCAGCCTCTGCTCCAGTGTAGAGGGCACAGGCTGCACATGGGGCTGAAGGCAGGGACTGCCCTGAGTGAGGCGCAGACACTGAGGTGTTCAAGGCGTTACATAAAGTCCAGTATCCTTTACTTTAGCATTGATAATTTCCCATCTTCGTTAAGTGAGGACTTGTGTACTTTATTCTATTTGATTTCAACTAAAGATAATGAAATATTTGGAAAGTTTAGAAAAATAACTCCTAATTCCCCCAACTCTAAACTCTAAAGTATTTATTCTTTTTCATTATCCTGTCTTTGTCCTCACTGTCTGTGGAGCCCTGACAGGTAGAAGCCACACGACCGATCACATGTCTTGGGGTTTTCTGTTTTGCAGCCGCAGGAGGGAAGCCCATCGCCATGGCACTGGGGCAGGCTTCTGGAGGGGCCAAGGAGCTCACAGGGCTTCTCACCACAGCCAAGTGAGTCAGTTTCTTGGTGTGTCTGACTGTTTCCTTCTTTCTCTTCACCTCTCTGGTCTATTTAATGCTCTGGCAAGATGGGGGATTCTGGACTCTTTGAGGAATGGACTTTTTCAAGTAGGATTTTTGTTCTTTTGGGTCAGCTTAGAGCTCATTCTTACTTCAAGTAGGCACTGTGTCCCTGGCCGTTGCTTAAAGACCTCAGGTCCTCACTGTAGACTTTTGGAAGAGCTAGAAGTTCAATTCAGAAGGTGAGATGAAGAAATAAAGTTCTAACTTGTGTCCATTTTGTTGCTGGGTCCCACTCTGGCTCCTCCCTGTATTTCCAGTGTCTGCTGCCTTCTGATTCTTGGGTAATGGAACTGTCTGTGTTTCCAGGTCAGGTGCTTCTGAAGGGGGAGTCTCAGCCAGCCCCAACCCCTCAGTGGTCTCCAGCAGCACTGTGCCCAGTGCCTTGCACACACTCCAGAGCCGCCTGGTGGCCACCTCTCCTGGCACGTCCCTCCCAGGTATCTGGTGGTCCGTCATTGCCGTCTTTTGAGTCTGCTACTGAGCGGTAGTTCTGGGAAACTAAATCTGGAGGTTTCTTGTTTGGGCTGAGATTTGTCTTAGGTTTGCAATGAAGCTGGAATTAGCTTTGAGGTGGGGGAGTTCTTGGCCTCAAAATTTAGGTCAGTAAATGCTACAGTATGCAGGTAGTGTATCCTGGACAAGAAGGGGAAAATGACTGGTGGGAGATGAATGTATTGTGTGTCATTTTATGTTTCTAAACCTATCTGATTGAATAGAACTGAAATGGTATTAATACTGGGCATTAGCAAAATAAGACATCTTTTCTGCCTGTGCTTGTTTCTCCACTTTCTCCTCCCTGATCACACAAGGAAAGGCTAGTTGCCTGGGCCAAGGCATACAGATACCTTCTCCTTCAAGAGGGTCTCATTCTTTGCTTTGAGGCCACTGGATTATGTACAAGGTGAAGCGTAAGTCGGGTGTTTGGAATTTTTTTGCTTAAATGGTCTTCATCTTCGGCCCTTCTTGGTGGCACGGTGGGTTAGGACACAGCACTGCAAGCGAACTACAGCCACTTCAGCACAAGTTCAATCCCTGCCCTGGAGGTGATCCACATGGCGTGGCAGACTTCTCCTGACTCGCCGGTTGATCCCCTCAGCAGTGTACTTTGTTGATCTGCCTATTCTGCTCCCCATTCATCTCTGGTGAATCCTCCCACTGCACCTGCACCTCTGGCCTGTACCCCAGTTCTGCATAATAAAATAATCTTTTTTTCCCCACGATTTTATTTATGCATACAGAACTGGGGCACAGGTCAGAGGTGCAGGGGCGGTGAGAGACAGAGTGGGGAGCAGAACAAGCCAACTGATGAAGTACACTGCTGAGGGGAGCAGTGGACAGGTCAGGAGAAGTCTGCCACGCCATGTGGGTCACCTCCAGGGCTGGGGATCGAACTCATGCTGAAGTGGCTTTAGCTTCTTAGTGCTGTGCTTCAACCTGCTGTGCACCAGGGAGGGCCCATAAATAAATCTTTTTTAAAAAAAAAAGGCCTCCATCTTCACTGGAAAGAAAGGAGGGAATCTAGATAACCTGAAAGTGGCATTCAATTTCTCTTTGGCTTTCCTAAAACTATCAAAATGTAGGGCAGGTGATTTAGAGCAGGTTAGGATGTGTAGAGTGAATGTAGGCTTTTATGCATTGCTGAGGGACTCTTCCATTCTGGTGTCTTTCTGAGAGAGCTGGGAATGTCTCAGGGAAAGAGCATGGTGTTTTTGTTGGTTGTGGATGGATGAGCTTGGCTGCTCTTGGGACAACAGACTGAGCCTGTGCTGATTGGTGCCTATTGTGTCTTCTCTTAGGTGCCACATCAGCCAGCAGCCTCCTCCAAGGTCTCAGCTTCAGCTTGCAGGATATCAGCAGCAAGACCTCTGGCCTCCCAGCAAACCCCTCTCCAGGGCCAGCCCCACAGGTACATATCTGCCTTCCACTGGGCTGGGCATGTGTAGGGAGGGGACCTCCTAAGCATAGTTGATTTTGGCAGGGAAACGGGGTCTGGAGTCTGCGTCAGGGACAACCACAGCCTTCTGATTTCACAGCCAGCAAGCAGTGTAAGGCCTCATCACTTACTCAGTAACCTTGGGCAAGATACCTCTTGGTGTCTTTGTTTCTAAGTCTGTGAAATGAGGATAATAATAGTACTTCCTTCGCAGCTGTTTTGCATTTTAGATGTGATCTATGGAAATGCTTACAAGGCCACCTTGCAGGTAGTAGGCACTCAGCACACGGTAGCCTTGAATAATATGTCATGGATCCTCCATACTTGAGTGTTGCTTTTGGACAACAGGTTCTGATTACCTGGGCTTGTGTGTCCCACAGGCCGCCAGTGTGAAGTTGCCCACTCCCATGCAGAGCTTGGGTGCCATCACCACGGGCACCAGCACCATTGTCCGTACCATTCCTGTGGCCACCACTCTCTCCTCCCTGGGTGCCACTCCTGGTGGGAAGCCCACAGCCATCCACCAACTGCTGACCAATGGGGGCCTCGCTAAGTTGGCAAGCAGCCTCCCTGGCCTGGCTCAGATCTCTAACCAGGCATCAGGTGAGTCTCTCAGGAGAATCGTGGGAACTTCCAGATAAGGGATCCTCCCTGAGACCTCTTCATCTCACATGGGCAGGTGTGATGTTGAACCCAACCTGCAGGGTCCTGGCATTGACCCTCAGGGACCCAGTTGTGTAGGCCCATCCCCCAGAGAGGTTGGAAAACAGTCTGGTTCCTGTTGCCTTTCAGTTTGGCTGATAGGAGATAGGTGACCCAGCTGGGAGGAGGCCAAGAGGGGTGTTTTATATGGAGAAAAACTCCCAGAAAGGAAGATGGAGGCTGTGACAAGCCGTTTTCTCTCAGGCTTAAAGGTCCCCACCACCATCACACTGACGCTGCGGGGCCAGCCGAGCAGAATTACCACTCTGAGCCCCATGGGCTCAGGAGCAGCCCCGTTGGAGGAGCCCAGCGCCCAGGGGCTGCCCTCCAGTTCACAGGTGAGTCTACATGGGAAGACCGAGGGCTCAGTTGCTGCTATTGGGGGGATTGGGGGTAACTGATTAGTAGACTGGACGATCTGCCAATGTGCTTGACTCACAGGCGGACCAGAGACTGATTCAGACTTGGGGGCTTGTAGCTTCATAGCTTTGAGCAAGTCTGGGACTTTTTTTTTAAGATTAGCAAATATTGACAAGAAAGTAGCAGAGGTCTTTGAGAATTCTTTTCACTACTAAATTGAAACACAGAATAAAGATCAAAATTTGACTTCTCCCTCATAGAACCCTCATAGAATTAACATTAACTCAAGGACATGGTCTTCATTTCAGTAAAATAGGAGTATAATTACCAGGAGAGTTCTGTGGTGATTCTATTATTAGATGAAGACTTGCTGACTTGAACACTTCTAGCAGTTACCTCAGTCAGTTGTCCTACCACGAGACAGTGTGCTTTGGCTCAGATCCTCTGTCTTCCACCGAACCTCTCCGGGCTTTGGTCTTCTTAACTAGGCTAATGAGGAGATTGACCTGCATCAGTGATTGTTGTGGTGGTGGGATTAGGAGAGGTTGTCTCAGAATCTCTTCAGGCTTTAGGAAGATGGAATTTTAGAGGTTGGGAAACAAACTGCCATTGATGCCATTTATGACACAACTGGAAATTCAAACACTAATGAGATAAATATTATATTAAGGAGTTGTTAGCCTTTTTACATGTGCTAGTGGTATTTTAAGTTTGAAATTTTTTTTTTTTTACGTTTTGGGTTTCATGGTACAATATGTATGGATTTTAAAAGAAAATAGACTTAAACAGCAGCCAGTCTTCTCTAAGGTCTGTGCAGCACTTAACTATACTTAAATATCTGTTTTGTTTCTGGCATGGATGAATGTTATTGTGCGTTTACTTTATAGAACTAGACTATTGTGTACTTTAGAGCTGAGAGACTGAGTGGAAATGCTTCTTAGCATTTTTCCAAGGGTGAAATCTAGAATAGTGAAATCTTAACGACGCTCTATCTTCTTTCTTTCTGAGGTGCAGGGCTCAGCATCTCATGGCAACTCCTCAAAACCCAAAAAATAGACATAACTCCAAAAAATGTTATTGTCAGAGAAGTAATTTAAGACTTCCCTTTGATTCTGCCATCCTCAGCAACTTCCCTATTTTCTTTCCCCTCCATTTTCTTCCTAACCTTTGTAGCTGACTTCATGTTATACTTTAAACTCTTTATGTGGATTGTCTCCATCTTCCAGCAGTCCTGGAAGTCGTGCTAGTATCTGTACCTTACAAATGAGGAAGAGACTTAGAGGACTTGTCACTTGCCCTAAAAAGTTACAGAGGAGACCGACTCCAGAGTGCACGACTGTTAACAGTTGGTTCTCCAACACATGCATCCAGCTTCTTCCCTGTCCTGAGAAATGCCTCTTGGAAGAAATTCTCGGGGGGTGGGATGATTAGGGCAGAGGGCCTGGATGTGTTCACCTGGCAAAGTTCTGACATTTGCTCATTGCCTCTTCTGCATAGCGCCTGCCTCCAGCTCCCTGAAGACGCCAGGGGCTCTGTCCCAGACAGGTCGTGGTGCTGCTCCACGTGTGCCCTGGGAGACGGTCTTTCCTGCGGAGCTGTTCGCCTGCCTGAAGACCTCTCCGAGAGTCACTTTTACCACCCCACCAGCTGTCTTCAGAGTTAGACCGCTTGGTCTCGTGACACCACTGGGCTCGGTAATATGGCGCCAGCAGGGGAACGTTGTCCTTCAGCCTCTACAGGTCACGTTCCCGGAGTCCCGGGCCCCTCGGCAGATCTAGCTGTGTGTGGCTCTGAGGCAGCCCTCCCCGGTGTTACTGGCCACAAGTGTCAGTATTGGAATGCTCATTGCATTTCATACAGGAGTTCGTTTTGGAAGTATGTGCTGCAAGAACCCGCTTGCCGAGTTGGGAGGAGATGTCCGTGTGGTCCGGGGCTGTGGGAGTTAGGATTGAGAGCCCTTTACTGAGGTCCTGGGTCATCCAGGCCAAGTGACTGGTTGTTGAGTGCCAGAGGGCTTGCTTGGAACATAGCTGCTGCCTTCACTGAGCAGCCACGGAGACTTCTCTTCATGCATCTCTACTTAGGAACCACATGAGATACTGAGTGTCCTGCTGAAACCTGGGAACTCCTGATTCCAAGCCACCACAGGGCAAAAAGAACTAAGCTGCCAACTTTCAGTCCATTGGCCAGTACAGATGTGGAAAGCAGTAGCCGCCAGGAGGTGAAGCTGGCTCTTCTTTTTTCATCATGCTTTTTGTAGTTTCTATGTCCAGCGAGCCTGCATGTCCAAAAAGGCTGAAGAAGAGGAATGGAACAGCAAATGAAGTACCTTGAGGATGTGCCAATAAGTCCTGGGGTGAAAACAATTTGGGCTTAAAACTTTACATCTAGTACCTAAGGGACTCTTGATTCATGAGGAGATGAGAAGAGTTTGCTAAGCCAGAGGGGAGAAACCCCAACTCCTGAGATTTCTGTCTCCAGTGCCTAGAAGTGAAGTAGGGATAACCAGCTGAGTTACCCTTTGGCCATCCCAGGGAGCTCGGGGATCAAGAACGCCGCATGTCTATTCTCTGCAATTTTCGTCTTCTTGTTTAGAAGTGGGAAGATTATTGGCAGTAACTCTACTGTACCACATGGTGCTTGGTATCAGCCTGCGCCCTAAAGGTGAGGATTTCTGGAACAGTGAAGCTGAAGATGGAGCTCTGAGCCCTTCCTTACGCTCACAGCAGTGCTAAGGTAGTTTCAGGTTTGGCTGAGAACCTACCCTCCAGAGCAGACTCCCCTTCCCCTCCAAACTGGAATGTTTTCAGACAAGGTGGTAAACGTGGCAGCCCAGGCAGGAAGGAACCATGGCATGCCATAGCTGCAGTGTGGTCCAGCATATTTCAAAACCTGGCTCAAATCTGTGCCAATCTAAGTGGCAGTCAGGAGGGAGCAGCTAGTGTGCAGAAGTCTCAGATGAAGCAGATTGGGGTACTGCCGGCAGGCCTGAGGGTCGTATATGATGGTGTGGAGACAGTCTCCTGAACATCTTGCCCTCCCTCCCTGACTCTGCAGAGCTGGTCTCATTAGTGACTACAGAGACAGAGCTGCATGTGGTAGAGAGCTGCTTTCTGAAACTCAGGAGGCATTTCAGAATTCAGATGGAAAATTTGGGAAAGCATGAAATCTGAAAGAGCCCCACAAGTCAGGGGCTTGTAAACTAAGGTAGAATAATAGCGCACCAACAGGAGCCAAGGACAGTAAGGGTGCGATTCTGTGCAGCTCTTAGGAATCCTATAATATGAGCAGAAGGGCCTGACCAGCCCACTCATGACTTGGAGACAGCACGGAGGGGCTGCTCCTGGGCTGTGCGGGGCCACTAGTGCCCTGTCCCGTATCTGCCCAAACCTTCGGATGCTTCCCCAGGGTGACTTCCTGAGGCTTGGGCTGTGCGCCTTGAAATATGCCAGAACTAGAGATAAAGCATTGTAGGAACATTGACTCTTTGCCTTGGAGAGACAGGCTAAAGGCAGAAGTGGGTGAAGTAGTTACACCCCTCTTCTGCCGCACTTATGAGATGAAGAGGAAGCTTTCCTCCATAGCAGACCTGGAGTCCATAGTGCCACGGTAATACCACTGGCCAGAAATGTGGGAGGATCAAGAAGGCTTTAATTAAATTCCGGGGTGACAGATGTATGTTGATAGCCTCTGAAAGAAGTCCTTGTGCTTCGGTCACTGACGGAGGAGCGCCTTCCGCCTTTTTTTGCCCCCGCCATTTGCACAGTCTAGGGCTGGATGGATTTTAGAGCGGAACTGCTGGGATGGTTTTGTTTTTATGTTAGCAAAAACAACTTTAAAAAATTAAAACTTTGGTGGCTTCAACTTGTTTTCAGTTGATTTCTCCTATTTGCACTGGTAACCACTCAAGCAAGTGAAGGGGGGCACAGGATATAATCGCTAAGCTACCATGGTAATGCCTGTAATCGTCTCACTGATGCCAGGTGCTGAAAGGTGGGATCTGTAGTGCCCTTTTCAGGTGAGATAGTCACACAGCAGTCACATGGTGAGGATGGTGACAGTGGGGCTGAGAGCCAGGTCGCCTGCACCAGTGTTTGTTCTGCTCTGCACTGTGCTGGGTTTCCAGGGGGGAGACCTGAAGTGGAGGTGAGGAGGTGGTGGCGTGGCCTTCTTGTGACCAGTTATGTCCCAGCAGGCCTGGAGTAACCGTGGAGCTCTGGGCTGGGCCTGCTTGGTTCTGTGTGTTCAGGATCCCTCTGCACGTCTTCTCCCTCCACCCCATCCAGCAAAGAAGGAAGGAAGCACAGAAGTGCTCATCCCCATCATACTGAAGTTTTGAAAAACACAAAACTGGTTCTTAACTACAGATAATTTTTAAAATACTGCTCTGGATCTCAGATCGAATGCTATCTCCTTAAAGAAATTGAGGAACCAGTTTCCACAGATTCCACCACAGATAGAAAAAGAAGAGAATGGTTTGTTTCATGGCTGTGTTTGGGAAAATACCTACTGAAGTATTTATGGATAAAATGAGTTAATGTCTTGGATTTTTCAGAATAATTGGAGAGGAGTAGATGAGTGGAATATAGACAGAACATGATTAGCAGTATGCTGGAGACTTAAAGCAAATCCATTTCTGTGAACTTCTGTGTTTGAAATACTCCATAGTAAAAAGTTAAACAGGGTCTGTTTCCCCCACCTCATCCCCCAATAAGGAAACCCAGAAAATTAACATTGGTACAGTGTATGCGTATAGTTCTGTCATTTTGCTCAAAATTCAGAATTCTTCCATCACAAATTTCTCCTCGCTACCCATACACTTTCTCATAATTCCTGCCGTGACAGCCATTCGTACAGAGTGAGCCTTGAATCAGGTCCTACAGTGTGTGACCTTTCAAGGTCGGCATTTTTCTGTTTAGCATCCCTCGATGTCTGTCCAAGTTGTGTGCATCAGTATTTCCTTTGTAATGCTGCGTGGACTGTGCGAGGGACCCAGCCATCTGTCTCCACCTGCTGGGCAGCATCTTGAGTGTTTTCACTTTGAGGCCGTCGCAGATAAAGCTATTGTGCACAATTAAGCTGAGTTTACTCTGGGATCAATGTCAAGTGTGATGACTGAGTCATACGGGGTGTTTTCAGTTTTCTAGGAAACTGCCACACTTACAGCATAACTAACATTTTATGTTCCCTCCAGTAACAAGATATTTTCTGCATTCTTGCCTGCACTGTAATTGTCTTTATTTTGTCTTGTAATCTTCCTCTAATAGGTACCTAGTGATACCTCATTATGGTCTTTTACACTAGTTGAGAATATCTGGGGTCATTGGTCTTGGCTTCCAGTTAACGAAGTGCATTAGAACACTTTGTAGAACTGGTGTCAACACTTAGAGTGCCAGTGGCCAGAACGCGAGGTTTACTAGAGCTTATGAAACTTGGTTATGGCAAAAGTAACCAGGACATTCCTGAAACAAGCAGGAGGCCAAACTGCAGTTATATTCGAGAATGCAAGATGACAAAGGAGAACAAGGATTCCAGAGTTTGTTAAGATGAGTGAGAGAGACTGATATGGTTGAAGTGGTAACTTCAGCTCAGGAAGCCATGCTGGCATGGGCAAGAATTGCAAGAGTCTCTAAAGCTGTCAGTTCACAACCCATTCCTCTGTTGAGAACTTTGTGCCTTGAACCTCTGGTGTCAGATGGTTGTAGCCCAACAGTGTCTCCAACCTATACTTGTCCCAGACCCAAAGGAAAATACATATTCTACCCTAAATATGGTGAATGAAATATTAGAACACACCAACATCGTTCCTTTTGGATGGGCCATGTCTTCATAAAGACTAGATGGTGGAGTGTCCCCAGCTAAAGTGACACCCATCCCAGTGACGGTAGTGCTGTGTCCTCATCCTCAGTGTTGCCTGATACTTTGAGGTAGCAGTTATGAATGTCTGGTTTCTGTGCTTGCGATTTGCCCAAAAGTCACTAGACTGCTGCGTCAGGTATAGCTGTAGGAAGACAGTTTGTCTTTGTTTTAATTAATAAGTCTTTTTTAGCAATTTTAGGTTTTTAGTACCTCTCCCCATTTGCCCCGTTCATCCTGTAGCAGAGTAGGTTATTTGTTAAATCTACATTGACCCATCATTATCACCTGGAGTTTGGGGTTCACTCTGTGTGTTGTGTCTTGTATGGATTTTGACAACTGCATAATTACGTAGATCCATAGTTGCAGATCATACAGAGTGTCACTGACCTAAAAAATCCCCTTTATTCCACTATTAAACTCATTATCCCAGGGGCCCACCCTGGTGGTGCAACGGGTTGAAGAGTAGCACTACGAAGCTATCAGCAGCCACTGCAGCATGAGTTCAATCCCCAGCCAGGGAGCTAACCCACATGGCACAGCAGACTGTCCCACCTGCTGCTCCCCTCAACAGGGTATTTCAGTCAGTCTGCCTGTTCTGCTCCCCACTCTGGTGGGGAGTCTGGTGAATCCAGGGAGTCTCTAGTGAATCCGGGGGACACCTCTAGCCTGTACCCCAGTTCTTATATATATAAATAAGTCTTTAAAAAAAAAAAAAACTCATTAGTCCTTAATCTGTCTTCTCATTGTCTCCAAACTTGGCCTTATTCAAATGTCATAGCTGGAAAGTCACTGAGCGTGTAGGCTCTTCTGACTGGCTTCTTTCACAGCATTGGGCTCTTAAGTTTCCTCCATGTCTTCCTTGATAGTACATTTCTCTTTAGTGTTGAATGATCTTTCAGTAAGAAAATTGTACCAGTTTTATTTACTTATTCACATATTGAACAACATCTTGGTTGCTTCTAAGTTTTCTAATTATAAATAAAGCTGCTCTAGCCACTTTTTTAAAAGGAAGGAAAGGAAAAGAAACAAACTGGTTCTGTGGCTCTGGCTACATAGTAAGTCAAACAAAGAGTAGTTAAACTCTGCAGGAGAAAGTAAATTTGTATTCACTGATGCTTTCAAGAACATGTCAGGGAAGAGTCTGACTGTTGGTGGCCAAGGAACAGCATGAAGATGGTGTAACAAAACTGATGACTACTCTGGTCTCCATATTGGAATTTCAGTTTTGTCAAAGACTAAGGGAAAGATCCCTTTGTCGGGGAGGATACCTCGGCCCTCTTACGGGGTGGGCATGTGGCTCAGCGCCAGCGGTGAGTCCTAAGCGGCATGTGTCAGGGGCAAGGCTTTTCCTTCTGGTAAAAGGGGACAGGTCTGCCTTGTGGTGGCCTCTTTCTTGCTTTCAGAAACTTAATTCTAGGAGCTGCTGCAGTCTTCTTCCAACCAGGAGAGAAGTGCCAACTGAGTTATTGGTAGGAGTCACATGCGATCAGGATTCTCTTCTGACCCGCACTTGGCCTCTGCTGCATTGGTTGATGTTGAATGCTGCTTGCAGATCCACCTGATTTCTTCTGTCAGAGAGCCTGCAGCCAAAAGAGGCTCACTCGTCCCTGCCTCCTCTCCTCACAACACATTTTCCTTCTGGACACTGCCCTTGGCCATAACCACACGGTCTCGCCTCATCTCTGTCAGTTAGCCTATGGGATCCACTGCCTGTTCCCAGAGAGAAAACCATTATTAAGCCTTGAGTGACTCAGGCTCACTCCTCCATTCACTCATTAAGCAAAGATTCTGTCTGCGGGGTATTCTTATCTCCTGCATCAACCCGTGCCTTCTGCCAGTTCCTTAATTCAGGGCCTCATCCCATCATCTAACCACACAGTCTCTGTGATCTGCCTCCATCCTGCGGTTAGGTCAGTGTCTCGCCATGTGACGCCATGTAGTTCATCTCCGAATCTGCACTGACCCCCACTTCCCTGCCAGTGCTTGCACAACCCCGTCTAGACTTGACCTGTGCCTGTGGCCGGACTCCTCTGGCCTGGCCCATGATTCTGCTAAACTATACTACTGATTCTTCGTGTATCCCACGGCTCTGCTTCCACACACTTCTTCAGTTCTGCCTTTATCAGCTTTTCAGTTCTGTTTTCTGCCTCACGCAAACTGAAATTCCATAGCACTGACTTTTCACTCTGGAGAATGGCAACATCACTGACAATACTCAGCCGTGGGGCTTCCTACAGCTTCCTATGTTCATGTCAAGCTGCATTCCTTGGCGGCAGGTCCTTTAAGGGTAGGGATGCCATATTATTTGCATTTGCACCCATCTTAGTAACTGGCACCGTACCCAACAGTTGCTGAGTGTGTAAAATAATCTCATTCTTTCTGACCTGTGCTTTTCCACTTGTTGCTTCTTTATCGGAATCCTCCTTAGCCTGGGAGAATGTTCACATTTTTCCCAACAAAGCCAGGATTCATCTTGCACGTATGAAAAGGGCTGGCATGAAAGACAAGATACACTGGATAATCAAGGAGAAACCCCTAATTAATCAGGAGAACGTTCATTGATAAGGAATGTCTCAAAGAAAAGAAGGGACCTTGGGGTTTTATAGAGGCGCTGAGATGAGGGAGACGTCCCTGCCAGCTGGAGTCCTATGGCAGTCAGTCGTGGCAGTCAGCTAGGGAAGCCTGTCTTACCTGGGAAGGCCTGGCAGGCAATATTTTGCAGTTAGCCTTTTCCTGGCACACTGAAGGGTACCACGATTTCTTAACCATTGCTGTTTTATCAGAGTATAGAGTTAGCCAAATTCAGTGCTCTCAGTTCTTTGGTCCACAATGAATTGCATTTATCACTGAACAATGAAGAAAGAACCACAACCTGTATGAGGCAAAGCAGCATCTAAACATTGGGAAGAGGGCTGCAAGTTGAATCACCTCCCAAACACATACCGGTGAGTTCGTCAGTCAGGCCCATGTAATGGGGCCTCTGTAACAGGCACGTCCAGGCTGGAGGACACATGGAGATTTGGGGGAACATGGTAGGCTGCAGAGGGCACGGGTGTTCCGAGCCGTTCCTCATATCCTGCCTTGTGCATCTGGCTGCTTCTGGGTTGTGTTCTTCGTCATCAGTCAGCTAGCGAGTAAGTCATCTAGTGAGTAAACAGGTTTCCTGAATTCTTGCAAATCAAAACCTGGTGAGGGAGTCCTGGGACTTCTGACCTATGGCCAGTTGCTCAGAAGCACAGCTAATAATCTGGCCTAACGAAGCGTACCTGAAGTCTGAGGAGGTGGGTTGTGGGGTGCTCCAATCTGCGCAGTTGTTCAGAAACCCAGGCGTGTGGCTGGCATCTGAGGTGAGGGGTGGTCTGGGAGACTGAGCCTTTCACCTCAGAAACTGATGTTCTTTCGGGGTAGATAGTGTCAGCATTGAGTGAGTTCTTGGGTATCCTGCTGGTGCCCAAGAAATGCTTGTTGGTGTGGGGAACCCTGCCCACAATCTCCCCTGGAAATTGGACTGCAGAGAACACCAGCAACACTCTTGCAAAGTCAGCTGAAACCTCTGGAGAGGTGGAGGGAAGGCCAGTTGTTGCAGAGTCCTGGAGACCAGGCCTCTTAAAAGAGGGATCAGAAAGAAGAATATTAATATTGGTTTAAAAAGTTGTGTTAACATTATTGGTGCTTTCACTAAGTAGAAGTTATCCTAACTTTATTTGATCAGACCTCCATGAATTTGGGAAAAACACGAGCCAGGCCCAAGTTGAATAAAATATAACTTAACACTATATTAAATTTACTACTGATAACTTAAAGACAACATGGCTGTTTTTGTTAAAGTGACACTCTAATGTCATTTGTGAAAGATTTACATAAATTATGTGATGTTGGATTCTTTAAACATTTGAGTTAATGTAAGCTCACTGCATTTGAGTTAAAATGCTTTTTGTCAGATTGAAAGTATTCTAATTCAATTTCCTTAATTTGGGAGTGTGTTAATATTCACTTTATATATAAACTTACCACCATAACTTCACAAGGCAGAGGGGGAGGGTGCTCTGATGTGGACACTAATTCCACTCAGAGGGCTCCACCCTGATGACCCCCAAAGCCACTCCAAATACCATCACTTTGGTTTCAACATAGAAAATTTAGGGGAACACAAAATTCAGACCTTAGTTGTTCCCTTGTGGAGGCCTTAGAGAGACAGAATAAGGGAAACTGAGGGTTGACTTTTAGGGGTGAATCCTGTCAAGAATGGAAACGAGGGAATCAGGGCTTCCCTGCGCCAAATCAGCCGCAGTCTTCAACTTTAATTCTGTTTTTCTTGACCCAAAGTCCCTGCCGCTTGTTTTCCAAATGTTTTAACCATGTGTGTGAGGCTATAAATGAAAGCTAGGAGAAGAGCTTGGTTCTAGGACTGGAAATGAAGACTTAAGAGTGAACAACCACAGAGGAGATTTAAGCAAACAAACCTTCCCTTTTGCTGAGTCAGTGAGTGTCTGCCCGAGATTCCCAGGTGGGGACAGCCTGGAGCTGCCCATGCTGACTGGCCGCCTGGATCCTGCCCAGGAGCCCACGTCAGGAATGGGGCG